AAGGTATGCTGATACAAGAAGCACAGGCTACATCACTCGGCATATAGAAACAGTGCCAAGCCTAAGAAGCGACGCTTCATGTCGTCCCCTAGGAAAAACACTATACAACGTTTGCTAAGCTTGTAGTATGCAAGTTTTCAATTTTGGCTTGGGGCAGCCGTCATACAGAATTAAGGAATGCACCACTCAAATATAGCTACCGGATATACCAGTGTTTAAAAGCAATCACATGGGGGCACAGGGATATGTCATTGAAAGCTATCAGTTTGCCAAAACGTCATAGCAATGCGTCCAACAACAGACACTTTGGTGGGATTGCGGCATTACAGTACAAAGATGGAAAACGTTTCGTTGCAAAATCTAGTTCGCGATAAGGAATGACTGAACCAGACTAATGACTACAGCGCGCTTGTTGGAAAAAACTGAATTACAGCGGTTTAGATACAGTCACACAAACATGAACTACGAAGCTACATCGACGGCTTCAAAGCAAGGATTTTAGCACATTGTAACAGGCTTTCGACGAAGGTGTCATAGAAATCTTAGCGTTGTGCGGGTTTCAGCATTCTGAAGACATGGTCTTCAAACCGGATATAATACTGTAGTCGATGACGTACACCTGATTATAACCTAGTCGGCTGTAATGTATACCTGATTATAAATTATTCGAATGGTTATAACCTAGTCGGCTGGCTATAACCTAATCGGCTGGTTATAACCTAGTCTGGTGGTTATAGCTCAGTCAGATGATGTAGCGAAAAACGTAGGGGACCCCAAATAGGGGCGCGCCCATATATATATATATATATATGGATGGGATGGGTACTTCTCTGAAAAAGGGTCCCTTTTTAAGGCTGTTGTGTGCAGGGCTTCGGCAGCTTCGGGGCGCTGGCGTCAGGAAACGGCAGGGCTCAGGTTTACCATATTGGGAGTTTCCGAAAATCAGGGGGGCCTTACTTGGGGTCCTTACAATAAGGATCCTACTATTTGGGGTACTATATTGGGGTCCCCTATGTTCGGAAACTCCCATATTCTGGAACACCGTGTCTTACTTAATGAGTATGTACTACCCTTGTTGATTTTTTATGGATATTACTATACTGTAATATTGTTATTAAATTTATTTTTGCCAGTACTTTCGTCCTCACTATCATGGAGTCACAAAGTCACATGGGCTGAACATGCACCTCTCCTCTGTAAAATGCAGGAGCGAATGCTGCTGTTGTGTTTCAAAGCTGCTCGGCAATCAGGATGATTGCATGCTGAGATTGAACTCGGTGGCATGGGCATCCCAAGCTCCCAGTACCTACATAAGCCTGTGGCCGCCCAAGTGTACTTTTTGTTTGGGATGCCTTGGCTCATTGCCGGAAGGGGTTTAGGTTTTAGGGTAAATTTTAGCGCTTATAGTTTAAGTTTAGGGCTTAGGGTTAAGGGTTTAGGGTTCCTCAGCTGCAGAAGCTAATGAGGTGCTACCTCGCACTACGCTCTCTTAGGCGAGGTGGAGGGTGCCGTTGCCGGGTGATTCGTGGATTCGGCTTGCACTGTTTAGCTGGCGGTGTGAGCCGGATGTTCAGGATTTGCATTCCTACGGTGACTTCGCCCGCAAGGTTTCAAGATTTTACAGTTTTTCGTTTCGTTGAGTGGCATGCATGCTCCCAGGCCCCGAAGACTACTTGCATCCAGCGCATGAAAGCAGCAGAGGTCTGCATGCCGCGAAAACCTGCCGAGCTTGTGCATGCACTCCAAGATGGGCTTTAGGCTTCTTGTGCCCGAGGCACAGATCGTAAATGCATGCATCCCCGCAGGTCTCGCCGAAAGCTTCGAGGTGCGATGCAATCTGGGTCATTTGAGAGTCTAGAGTCTTGTGGCCATATTCGGGCAGTAGCAATACTTTGAGGTCAGTGAGATCCCTTGATTCGGCCTCATGAAACTAGAACGGCGCGGCTTGGAGATCCACAAAACCAGGACCTTCCGTGTCTTCACGGCCTTTACATTGGCCGAACGATGTAGCTCAAGAGTTTCTCAAACCTTGTCGCAATGGCATATCTCTTTAATCGCGATAAGAATGATGTGATAAAAAATGCTACGACAATGTACTACCACTGCTACTATTACTGCCGCTACTACTGCTACTATTACGACGACTGCGGCTACGACGACGCTGACGACTACCACTACTACTACTGCTACTTCTGCTACTGCTACTACTACTACTACTACTACTACTACTACTACTATCACTACTGCTGCTGCTACTACTACTACTACTACCACCTCCTACTGGTACTGCTACTGCTACTGCTACTGCTTCTGCTACTACTGCTATACTACTACTACCACTTCTACTACTACTACTACTACTACTACTACTACTACTACTGCTACTACTACTACTACTACAACAACTGCTACTACTACTACTACTACTACTACTACTGCTACTACTACTACTACTACTACTACTACTACTACGACGACTTCTCCTGCTGCTGCTCCTGCTACTACTACTACAGTACTACTACTACTACTACTACTACTACTACTACTACTACTACTACCACTACTACTACTACTACTACTACTACTACTACTACTACTACTACTACTACTACTGCTACTATCGCTACTACTACTACTACTACTACTACTACTACTACTACTGCTGCGGCTACTACTACTAGTGGTGGTAATTCAAGTGGTGATTCAGTATTAACCATTTCCCCTTTTATTCTGCGTTTCTGCATTGAAGCTGTTTTAAGAAAACGGGGCAAAAGGTGTATGCAAGCATGTCGCGACACGCACACTTACACTCTGTGCATATACATGTATATATGCATACATACCTACGTACAAACATACATACATGCATATAGGTACATACAGACAGACAGCCAGGCAGGCAGGCCGGCTGCAGGTAAGAAAAATGCCGTGCGGAGTAATTAGCAGCATTGCTTCGGATCGGTCTGATGTCCGCGTAGCTGGTTCAACTACTACTTATGTGTTAGAAAGCAGCCATGTTTGAGGTGGTGTAATGGGGTTCGGCATAGAAGCAGCAGGGAAATTTTCTGAGATTTGTCCCTAAACCCTAAACCCTAAACTTACCCTTTCAGGTTGATCAAGCGCAGCTCGAATCGAAGTACAAGGATGGTCGTCCCCAAGCCTCGCCCCCTGCAGGCCTTATCTTGGGCTCCTTATAACCAGGATCCTACTATTTAGGGTACTATATTAGTATATTAGGGTCCCCTATTTACGGAAACTCACACTTAGGCCTTAAATGTACTCTGAACCCCAATACCTTAAAGTCGTCAAACTTTCGAGCCCCAACGCCCCTATGAGCCTTAATGCTTAATGCTATTGGCCTTTTCGGTGAGGTGCAGCTAGAAAAGGCTCACAAATCCTATGTTGAAGGCTCCTAGGGGCTATTTCCGGGGTTTATGGGGGGGGGTTGAGGCAGGATGTATAGGTTGTGCTGCTTGGCTCGAAGATCTGAGAGGGAGGGAGAGTTGTCGTGCTCTGGTGTTCTCCTTTTAAGAGGTTTAGGGCTTCGGGTAAAGCATCCTACCCTTAACTTGAATATCATCCAATAAGCTTTGCGGATTTTGATTTAAGCCCGCCGTGATTTCTGGAATCTCGTGGTGTATAGCAGACCTGCTGTGTCCCAAGACTGCGAATTGGCATTCCTGCACAACACTGAACGTCAAGACTTGCAATGACCTGAAGTGATTCCCTAAAAACCGTCACCCCTAAGGATAGAGGATCCTTACTATAGCACCCTAAATAGTAAGATCCTTATTATAAGGCCCCCAAAATAAGGTAACCATGTTACCCGGCAGAGCCTCAACCGTGGAATTCCAACCGGGGGTACCCGGAGAAGAGGGACAGTTCGCTCATCCTTGATACAATACCTCCCAAAACAAACCCCAAACCCAAAGCCCTAAAGGCCTTGATGGGATCCTTTAGTCACGGTTTAGGGCTTAGGGTTTATTAGTGGTTCCTCTATTGGATTCCGAAGCACCCGATTGCTTTCCGAAGGAGCTGCAGCGTCAGTTTCATCCGGATAGGCACGTAGCCTCCTCCGAGGAGCCCCGAGTGGCTCTCGTTCAGGGTCAAGGGTTTGGGTTTCGTATTTGCTTCAGTTTAGGGTTTAGGGCATTGCAGGGTTGAGCCTTTGTTCAAGGCTTTCCCTTCCCATTCTCCCTCGGCCTGCATGCTGGAAGGATTGGTGCATGCTGTCTCGACTGTTTCTTTTCCTCGGCTGCATGCCTCGTGTCTTCTGATAAACACTGGCTAGTCCACACGCTTCGCTGTGGATGGCACCCATGTCCCGGGGGCAAGCATTTTTCTTAGTGTGTTATGTACGATTGTAACTTTGTTGCTGTGAACTGATGCTGTTTGATGCTCGCTCACAGGGTCTAGGACCGTTTTCTCTTGGATCCTCGGGAGATCTTTGAAGGGTCCGCCCTCTGAAGCCAAGACCAGGCCATGAAGTAGGCCTGAGTCATCGATCTCCTCCCCGGCGGCAGCTGCTTCGGTAAGGGCTTCGACTCGTCAAGCAAGTTCTTGTCCAGGGCATTGTTGTATGAGCAAGCACAGCTGTTCCTTGTGATCAGTTGTTGCTTTGATTGAAAGCTTGGTACAGTATTACCTAAAAAGGACTTCGAGGTAACAACGAAACTTCAATGTTTCAGCCGAGTTTCTTCCCTTCGAAGATGTCCTTGCCCGCCAGCTTCGCTTGAAACAGAGGACTGGCTGAATCTTTCGATACGGTATGGTGTATCAAGCCCCAAGCCGGAACCGCAAACTTCTCCACAAGAAAGCTCGGAACAGCACTGCTCTTTGTCAAGAGAGCCCTTGAAGCCCGCAGCCGCGCATCCTTTTCCTCTGCAGTTTCCACTGCAGCTTCCCCTTCTTCCTTGGGATCATTGACTTAGGTGTGCAAACAACCAAGAAAGACACGTTCAGTAAGGGTTCGTCACCGACAGAATTCTGGGAACAAATACTCAATGTGGGTCTGTGGAATGCTTTCTTTGTGTTAGTTTGCAAAGGTCTAGAACATTTATTTTGTAATTGACACGGGAACAGATGTTAAAAATCGGCCCAGTCGCGTCCACTCGGTCAGCCTCCTCCTCTCTGTCCAGGTCAGCGAGAAGCTGCTCACAAGCAACACAAGCAGGATCGATCTCCTGCTCTGCCTGCTTGGGGATTCTGACACAAACCGAACAAAAAGCAAGTCTTTGCTTTCGGGGTTTGAGGACATGAAGTACAACCCGACTGGCAATGTTTGGAGGCCTGCTCCACGTCGCCCTCTTCATCTTGCTCATCGCCTGTATCGCCCTTTCGCTTTTTCTTTTGATCTTGATGCAAAAGCTGTGCTTCGATCTTGTCCCTCAAGTTCTGATCTGTGTGCTCGGCCACAGAAGTAGACTCCATGAGCTTTCTGATCTTCGCTGCTTTTGCAGCGTTCTTCGGCAATCTCATGCCCTCCAAAAGGAGAAGCTCAGTCAGTGCAGCTGATGTGATTGTAAGAATGCGTTCTGTTCGAAACAAAAACACCAGGAGGCTCCAGCCCCTTGGGGCCCTCCGAATCACAATGCTGCCTGTCTTTGCAGCAAGGGCAGCATCTGCAACGTGGAAAGTGCACTGAAAGATCTCAGCCTGAAGAGGGAATGAAGCCCAGGCATCGCGGATATTAGTGGTTCTCTTCTGCTTTTCCTAGTACCTCGAATGAAAATTAAACGAATGATGTGCAGATCTAGTGACCTGCTGCGGTGTCATGCGAACATGTCGAAAGATGTTCCTTGTTGTGTGCTTCTGTTGCAAAGAAATAAAGCAAAATTGTGGCAAAGACAAGAAACACGGAGCTCCTTCTTATTTATAACGTCAAAAGCAAGAAGAAACACATTCGTCAAAGTTGCGGCCCACTCAGGAAGCACAGGGCCGGCGTGGAATCCTCTGAGTGTTGGAAAGGATCCTCAGTCTTTCTTTTGGCCTTGCCAGCACAGGAGATCTCCTTGCCGCTTGCGGGTGGCAGGGGCCCTTTGAAGCACCACGGAAGCTCTTGCAAAGCGATAGCCTCAGGTTAGGTGTCAGAACCAGGAAATTGCGAATAGAACACGACTAGTCTTCCCCGGTCCCTGTTTCTCATTAGACCAACCAAAACTGTTGATGCGGAAAGTTAATTGTAATTATGGCCAGCAAATGAATCCAGGAGACATGAATCACAGCATAGGTGTTGCCTGTGCACATGAAGAATTTGCCCTCGTGCCGAAAAACAACTCCTCTCTCAAAGCAGCTTGCAACCCAGAAGTGGTTCGAGGCGTCGATCGGGCTTTCTCCATTCCTGACATGGAGAAATCAAAAGAACAAGCTAGGTCTAGCTACCATGTAGCACAAAGATTGGTGTGTACAGAATCTGTTAAACTCAACCGGGGTAGCTTGAAGGCTGATTTCCAGGCGAGCAGGCAATTAAGCCCGTGATGGGTCAAGTGATGGGCAGACGTGGTTGCGAACGGCTTCAAGATTTCCTCCAAGCGGATGTTCTTGCCTGGACGGCACCATGATTTGCACATTGTCTGAAGGCGAAAATTTAAAACAACACTGCGAATCTTTGCTAGCTAGCAGTTTTCCTTTGATCGTGTGATGCAAGGCACACGGCAGGGCCGAAGTGGGGCTCCAAATTTTGTGCTTCAGCGCCCTGACCTCTTTGCCCTCCCAGTCCTTCTCAGTCAACTCGGGAGTGGCCGGTGTAAGCTTCTCTTCGGACTCATTGCAAATCCTGCGACCCAAGGCTCGGACAGCCACACAACCCAGATTTGTCAAATCGTCCTGAGGCACACCAGACTTCCGCACAGCATACTCCATTTCGCGAAACACGTTTTCCAGGTTGCTGGACTGACCGAAGGCAGGGTACCATGCTTTCACCACTTCCCCAATCTGCTCCACGAATTTGTATCCATGTCGCTCGCACACAGAATGAAGTTCGCGCTAGCATTGGAAGGTTGTGAACAAGCAGTGCTTTTTGAGCAGAAGCTGCCCTGCTGTCGATTTTTCCATGTCCAACACCGTGCTCCACTCTGCTTTTGCTTCCTGCAGAACCTGTGCCCGAGTGGCCTCTGTGCTTTCTGTAGCTAGGAGGGCAGCCGACAAGGCAGGGAAGGAACGGAGGTAGGAGGCGTACTCCAGGAGTTCGAAACAGCATGCGAGGTAGGCAAGCACTTGCTCGAGTAGCGTTTCTGCTGTCAGCGGGTCCCTGGAAAAGTTCACACGTAGAGCCTTGCAGGGTTTTTAAGCTTTAGGGGCCTTTGGGTTCCTGGGATGATGACAAGATACTTACTCGTGTGTCTTACCGAGTACGATCTGAAGCAGGGCTCGTGTCCAAGCAAAAGAACAACAAACTCGGTTATTATGTGGGCGTTTCGTCGGGAAGGAGTTGCCAGAGTGCTGCAGCTGCAGCTTTGAAACACGACTTGAATTTGCCGAACGGAGCTCAGGCCTGTTGCATGTGTATGTTCACGAAGAGTTTGGGCCCCGTAGTCTCGCACTGGACCCCGTTTTTAGGATTATTCTAAGCGTATAGCTCAAAAGACCAGTGGTAAGCTTTAGCGTTTAGGGTTTAGGTGTTTAGTTAGGGGGGTTTCATGGGCTCTATATTAATCTAGGGTTCTACAATCTAATACAGAACTAACAAGTGTAGTTAGCCCAGAACTCTAGTAGCAACACATGGCACTAGCTTGGTTCTCCTACAGACAGCACAAGCGTACTCGAACAAACTTTGGTATAGGGCGGGCTGCCCAGCAGCAATGGCCTCGTTCCCAGCCACTTCAACATCGGGCTTCTGTCCCAAGACATCAGATGACAAGCACTGCGAGGCCAGGGCCGAGAGCATTTTTTCCACGTTGGCGTTCATGCTCATGTTGTGCACGTGACCATGCAGATGCCACAGCTTGCGGGCATTCTGCTGCTTAGTTTATTGTGCACACTACATTCACTACATGTGTGTGTCTGATCAATGCAAAAAACACAGCCTGTCAGAGTCTGCAGTCGAGTGGCCAATTGCACAGAAAGCGTGCGAAAGGGCTCCATCAAAACCCGCGTGGATTTCCACATTGCATATACTTGCTCATCCATGAGTGCCTTAGTCAGATGGAAACGGGAGAATCATGGCTATTATGTTGGGCTTGGGCAGGTCAGAGTCTGCAAACCCCGAACGATGTAGCCGGGCTGCACGAACCGTCAAATCCACGACTTTCTCGAAGCTGGATTCAGGAGCCTCCACATCGGCCTGCTTGGAGAGAATGTGGAACGGGTTGACGCCGGCCTGCACAGAACAGAGGGTCTCACAGGGAGTTGTGCTGAAGGTTAGCTGGGGCTTTCCAGTTCGGGTAGGCCTTCCTAGGTTGTACAGGGGATGTTTCAGCCGCCTCGATCCCAGTCCAAAACAACAGCAGCAGTGTGCCAGTGAATTGGGTTCTTTTGGATGTGTGAGCCCACGAGCACCATCTCGAGAAGTCGAAGCCATCGTCGTGCAACCTAAAAGAATCAGACTGCGATAGCCTAGGACCCTGGTAACCCAGGGGCAACTCAGAAAGAGCAGTTGCCACGAAGAGAACAAACAGAAGCATTGTGAAAGCCGAGTGGCTTCACCAACTTCGAGAGAATGCCGACGACATTTTCGAAGTCCTCATCTTCGTTCTCGGTTGGCGCGAGGCCATTCCTGCAAGTCGGCTGTTAGTGGGGTTCTGTTTGGGAACCTTAGGGAAGTATGGGTATCGCGATTGCAGCGCAGAGTCTCAAGAAGGATGTCTTTGCCGAACATCTCTTGCAATACATCATCAGGTCTTGCCTGGTCTGATAGCGTGTGCTGGGGTGTATGCCCGTAGTCTTCTTTTATGTCAGATCCGATTGCCTAGGACATAGGAACCTAAAGGCAGCCTAGTTGCCACATCCAAGTACCGTTCCCCTGCAGCCTTTAGAGAACATGTAATCCCGTGCTGATTCCAAGGGGATCGTCGGCAGCGTGATATCCACGATGTCAGCGTGTACATTCCTAGGCTTCAAGTGTAGGCACAAAACGAAGTGTACCGAAAATATGAAAACAGCCACTCACTAGCGTAATAGTGACACAGAACCTTCCTAAGGAGACCATGCAAAAGCACAGCCCAGGATCTCTTCATCACTTTCGTGGACTGCAGGACGCTCTTGCAGGCATTGTGCAGCTTGTGACTTGGCTGGAAACGTGCTGGGAATGCACACTTCAAACGAAGTATATACTTACTCGAAGCAGTCATCTAACCTTGGAGGCCAAACCTGTAGACTGGAGAGAAAGCAATGTGCAGACAGAACACCACTCGTCACGGTTGAACCCAATGGCAGCTCCTTTCGAAGCCAAAAACATAAAGCCCGTGAACAATGAGGATCCCTCGTCCGGTGCCAAGACGAGGCGGTAGTGAGCCCCGTTCAAAGGCTCCCAGTGGCACTCGGAGGTCATCGCATTGTGCACATACATCCTGTCTTCCCCTTCAAAGCGGTGACACAGCCGCTGCTCCATCAGCGGGTTGATGGGACGGAGGCTTTCATCCGGCCAGAGCTGGTCGAAGTTGATGCCCATATGTTGGATGCAGTTGTGGAGGGCCTGCAGCTGCTCTTTGGCAGCAAGCTTCTTTTGGTGCACTTCTTTGATCTTGCGAGGCCTTAGCAGGAGCCAACATCCCGGCGTTCAGATTCAAGTACTCCAAACATAACAGCTGGCTGTTGCAAGGAAGATTTTGATTGACTAGATTCATTTTGGGCTTGTGTTCATCGCTGGTCCGGTCGGCCACCAGGAGATCTGCTGTAGCACCGGCGATCTGGGCTGCAGCTTTCATCTTCGTAGCAGTATCCACCTCACTCACGTGGTGGGGATCCATCTTTTGCAAAGTGCCCACTGCTGCAAAGTCATTGCAGCACACCACCGGAAGCCAAACCTTAGATTTAGGAGACACGGTGCTAGTGATGGCTCTGGCACTCCGGACGACAAAGTTGCTGCGACCTAGCAGCACTCATGTGGCCCTTGGGACTTGCGTCGCAGAGGACACTGAAGCTCTTCAGGGTCATCTTGGCAATCTCCTGTCACTGACTCACGAGAAGAGATTGGTAACTTGGTGTGTGTGTGTGTGTGTATGTGTGTGTCTGTGCGTGTGTGATTGTGTGTGTGTCTGTGTGTGTACACCTGTGTGACTGTGTTCCTGGCCGGAGGGTGTGTGAGTGTGTGTGTGTGTGTCTGCTCGTGTTACGTCATGTTAGCAACGTACGATGTGCATGTGCATGTGGTTGTTGCTGTGTGGTTATTCCTTGGTCTGTGCGTGTTTGTCTATATGTGTTTGTCATGTCATGTGTCTGCTCCAGCCCACCCCAGCACCCCTAAATCCCTCCACTCAGCTGAAGTGCAATTTCGCAGCTCGGTTGGAGGGGGGGAGCTCATGCGTACGATGCTGGGCCCCTGCCGTCTTGGAAAGGGGGAAACACCAAGCGAGAAGTTGTCTCGTCTGGGTTGTAAACAAGTTCGGGGGGGAAACAAGCATGAATTTTCAAACCAAACGAGAAGTTGTTCTCGTTTTGTTTGAAAACAGGCTCGCCGGGGGGGGGAGAGGGGGCTGATGCACATGATGTTCCCCCTTTGCCCTGCGGCTTGAAAGGGACTGCTGCATTGACCAGTGGGTTATCTGTCCGAAACAGCAGGGACTCCGACCTCCGCCAAGATCTCGCCAGTTTTCCGGATGTACCGGAAGTAGAAATCCGCTGCAGTCCTAGCATGAGCAGTCTTCTAGTGCTAAGACCAAAGACAAAACAACCGCTGCAATCCCCAAAGTACTGTCCTGCTATAATGGACCGGGAGCACCCCCTTCAAGTCCATATTCTCTAGGCTCTGGTCGGATGTTGCACCAAGAAATCCTCCTCCCCTGCTCAGGAATCTCTGAAGACAAATCTGGCTCTTGGGTTTCGCTTCCAGCCGCAGATGCCGACCGTCCCTCGGATTGCAAGCTTTCGTTAACATGGTGAAATGCATGCACAAGGCACCGTCCCACTATCTGAAAAGTAGATGCTGGTGGCTAGACACTTCTTCGCCGGGTGCAGTTTATGGTCTGCTTGCAGAACAGGTAGGTCAGGTCGAAGGATTGCGGGGAAATTTTGCTCGGCTGCTTGGCTGAGGCGGTGGAGCAATCGCCGTTGAAGGCGGGAGTAGCTGATGTCCTGGCGTGAGAGTTTCAAGCTATCCAGCGGATTGGGTTTGGGTGAAAGACACCGGGTCCTCGAAGCTGTCTAGGAAGGGCACACGTAGCAGAAACCATGCGAGCACGTGCAGTTTGATGCCTAAGACAAGAGGCAAAACAATGCTTCATCGCAACAGGCAGCAGCACCCGCCGCACTACATGTACCTGAGATCGTCGCCTGTCTGCAGTTTCTGCTGGCCCTTGGTGAAGATTTTTGTAAACCTCCACCTGAAAACATGAGGCCCACAGGGACAGCAAGATTGTTCTGTAGTGCGGTCCTCTGTCTGAGGTTGGTGAACTCTAGGAAGTCATTCAGGCTGTCGAGCTGGACTTCGTAATTGCGCACACGAATCAAACCTGAACAGACATATAGGCAACAGCCCAGGAAAGCTTCCTGAATGTAGTTTGGACAGTGACCGGTTTTGCCGACGGGGTACAGTCAGGGCAACCTGGCAGTAGGTCCAGATCCAGATCCCGAGGCACACAAGCTGCCAGTACCACGTGGAGGCATCCCATGGCCGCCTCCTGGAGCGGCGGCTTACAGCCACGGACCTGCAGACCAACTCCAACCTTGGCTGCAATTTATTTACAGGTTTGTTTTTAGTTAAGCATGAGCGAAGGAAAGGGCTTCTCTGAATTTGCTCACGTGTGTCTCGCAACTTGTTAGTTCCGGTTGTGTTTTGTTCTACGGGGTAGGGGTAGGGGTGGGGCAGGGCTTTGTCTTGAAGCAAGGAGCTGCAAACAGCAGCCCTGGTGTGGTCATAGCATCAAAGGGCAGCACGAGCCGAGACTCAGGCACGATGTCAATCTTGCCTTTGTAATCTTGCCGGCGTGGCAAATGGATACCGAGATCCACTTTCCAGGCTTTTGCAATTTGGGTGCCCTGCTGCTCAGGCCTTAGGTTTCATTGCTCATTGCCAAAAAAGCAAGCTGAGGTTACAGGGCCACAGAATGAGACGACATTTGCACAGCTGCTCTGCTGCCAGGAGACAGCTTGCTGAACCAGTTGTGGAACTTTTGGGTTCGCTGCAACACTGTCCAGATCTCTTCAACTCTCCATAAATGAACATACCCCTGAAGAGTGGCATCCAGGGCCTGTTTGACATGTGGATGCGACAGAGTGCAGTGCATGTTGTTTTGTTCATGGCCTTGTGTAGCTGCAGTACACCATTGATTCCAGCTGCGGCTTTGAGATACAGAATCTTCGTAGGGCTGCGAATCTTCTCTGGTGAACTTGCCGAGGCGGATGTGGCTTCAGCTTCTGCCAGCTGCTGCGGCTCTGCAGCCTCTGGCCTTTCTTCCGGGTCATGGAAGAGCTCTGGCCGCAGTGGCAGACCCAACTCGGAGCATCTGTTCCGGAACTTAGCCACAGCCTCCTGTGTCAGGAATGAGCAACCGAACTCTTGTGTTGTCGTATGAAGAAAGGGACATTCTGATCACGAAGCACAGCCGAAGGTGCCTCCCAGAGTCCTTTTGACAAAGCAATCTGACCCAAAGCACGTCCGTGCTGAATGCACGAATCTACAAACTCGATCTTCTCGCGGATTTTCGCTCGGAGGGCATCCCTCGAATCCGGCTCGGTCCTGGCAGGACAGAAAGCAAATCATTAGGCAGGAGGCAGCACGCTGTACGAGGCAGCACGCAGGAAACAGGCCCAGGTGCTCACACAGCTCACGGAGGCGCTCCGTGAACCAGGTCGTCTCCGCCATTCCTGAGTTGGGGCTCGGGGTGTGGACCGCATTCCGCTTCACCGCGCGGCTGCTGTCTCGCGTGCGCGCGTGCGGGTGGTGCGTGCACGTGCCAAACACAAAACGCGGAGCTAGCACGCACTCTCCCAAATCGAGGCAGCATGTGGTCTTTTTCGAGATGCTTCGACGTTTTGGGGTTTAGGCGCTTTCGCCGGGGTTCTAAAATAAGTGCATGCTGCCTCAACTTTTTTCGGTCGGCACGTCGCGCGACATGCGTGAAATTTTTTTTTGAGCTAGCACGCTGCGTTGCCAGGCAGCACGTACAAGTATAAGGCAGCACGCACCCTGCATGCAGGCTTCGAGGCAGCACGTACCCTGACCCTGCTGTTTACCTAATTTTAGGTGGCGAGCAATTTACTAAACAAAGCTTGGTTTACACTTCAAATTTACGAAAAAATTTACGTAAAAAAAAAAAGTGTAAATTAATTTACTTTGTATAGTAAAAAATTTACACTGCAATGTAAATTTTTTTACACTGCAAAATACATGTTTTTAGGTTACACATTCCCGAATTTGAAGAAGTGAAATGCAAGCTAATTTTGGTTGGTTTTGTTTCTTTTATCATGGTTCTGCTTGTTGATTGCATGATATTTTCCTGCGACTGTACAGTGCGGCATGGTCAGGTGTGAAGATAAAATTATGAGAATTGTGTTGCAAGCATACTTGTTAAGCCATGGTTTTCCATGTTGAAATCGCAGCTCGGTTTGATTCTGTGCTGGGTCGAGCCGGCGGATTGCTTGCGATGTGTGCTTTTTACATGCGAGAAATCGGTACATGTACATTTGCTAGAGTCATCACAATATAGTTTATACCTGCGAGGAGTCCACCTTTACCTGTGCGAGACTCTTGTAGGTTACATGCGAGAGATCTACTTATATATATATATATATATATATACTTTTCTGAGATCCGAGAGTGAGAAAAATTTTCGGACGTTGCAGCTGTGTGTTTGGGCCAGACGAGACCCAGAGGTAAGTGCGAGGCTGGATGGAGACAGAGACAAATGCATTCCATTTTTTTGAGAAATCATAAATCCTATACATACACAGTATATACAGTCTTGCGAGCATGGCTTCCTTAGCAGCTGCAGCTTCGGTCAAGCTGGCGGACGGCGCTTCCGCTGCAACGGGCAAAAATGCCAAGGACCGAGTGGTTGCCGATCCGCTTATTACAGCAAAGGAGCTGGCGGATGTGGTGTTTGGCTTTCTCGAGTTCAAGAAGACGAAGGACCTGTGGCCTTTACTGTGCCCCCCTCCGGGCGGGCCAATAAGCTACACTTGGCACACTGCCGCCCACGGTCCGTGGTTGGCAAAGACAGCTGGGCTGCTGTTTGACCTTCTTCGCCTCGCCCCGAACACGAAGTTGTTGTCGCAGCGGTTTACCCGAAGCTTTTGGATCCTTCACGAGCAAAAGAACCTGCTGCTCGAAGGCCACAAAGACTACAAGGCAGAGGACCTTGTGGACAAGATGGACACCGCCATCCGTCTTCTTCTTAGCCACCTCCGTGCGATGAAGCAGAAGGAGAGCTTCAAGCGGAAAGTCTACAGGTCCCTGTCGCACGAGGATCAAGTGTGCCGTGGCTGCACATATATGTTTTTCGTGTTTTTTCGCTGTATATATAATTCGTGTGACGGAACAAAGAAGTGTTGCAAACTTTTTTTTACCTATAAGTCTGTGCAAACATACAATCAGGAAGCTTGACCTTTGCCTGGAAAGGGTGCAGGTGCAGGAGTTTGCCCCGAAGCCTCTTGATTCCCCCAGCACGGCCCTTGTTCCCGTGAAGGAGGATGAGAAGCCTGTTCCCTTTCGGTGTGACGAGAAGCCTACTCCTTTGCAGTATGCTGAGTTCCCGGAGTTGCCGGAAATCTTTAAGAACAGCAGCCCGACCAAGTTTCCGGACACCTTGAAGAGCAGCGAGCCGAAGAAGTTTGCGGAGAAGTTTGTGCACATCCATAAGAGCAGCAAGCCGAAGAAGAGCGTTATGAAGAAGGGCACCCTGAAGAAGAAGGCCACAAAGGCAAAGAACAAAAAGGCAGGAAAGGCAAAGATCAAGACTGGTGCCGGGGCTGAGCCGGCCAAGGATGTGGAAGTGATCTCTTCCACGGATGAGTGCGACTTGGACATCCTCAAAAATGCCATGGCTTTCATGCCGCCGGTGTCTGTGGCTGTGGCCAAAAAGCAGGGTGCTTCGAAGCCCAAAGCCACCGGCAAGCCGAAAGAGAAGAGCCCCAAGCCCAAAGCCACAGCGAAGGCGAAGTCGGCGGCGAAGACGAAGGTGGCGAAGCTGGCGGCGAAGCCGCAGCCGGCGGCGGCGACTTCGCCGTCTAACAAATGGCTGTCCGCCGAAAAGTACGGATCTTGCAAGGTAGAGTTCTACTCTGAGAAATCCTACATCCGCAACTACGATAACGGCGGCAAGCTGATGAGCATCATTTCCAGTTGCTGTCCGAAGCATCATGAGGTGATCGAGAAGATGATTCCCTACGTCGAGCAGGGCATCCCGCTCTTGGGGCTCTACAAGCTGCGAAAGGACGTCATGAAGTCGCTGGGGGTTTGAAAACCAAAATGTGTTCAGTGCGGGATGTGATGTGCACCCTGGGTTTTCTGAAATTTGTAGACTATATAACAATCTGAGTTTCAAGCATATATATGTTGTATATAAACGTGGTTTGTTTTCCCACAAATCTGAGAAAACCCATGGGTGCTAGTCACTGTGTGTTTCTATATGTCTTTCGTTTACATGTAGAGCACTACATCTGCCACAATGCCATTTAGCATAATGCATCTTTGGCCCTTTTAGTGAGAAGCACAAAAAGGGTGAACCTTCCGGCAGCAGAGGGGCAATGACTGCGAGAAAAACTGTTTCTTGCATTTGTGTGTGTGTGTGAGGTTGAGTGCTTCCTGTTCTGTGTGATATATGTATTTGATCCCTATCATATACTGTATATATAAGCCTTTGTAACCCCGAAACCACCAATAGCCTAAAGCCTCAAAGCAGGTTTACTTGCGACGGTGATTTTTGTATATGTACTTGCGATGAGTTCTGCTTTTTACCTGTGCGAGTGTTTCCTTTTACATTCGATGTGAGGAGCTTTGTATATTACTTGCGAGATTTTCCTTGTGTGCACCTTTACATGCGATGGGGAGCTTTGTATATTACTTGCGAGATTTTCCTTGTGTGCACCTTTACATGCTATGGGGAGCTTTGTGTTACTTGCGAGATTTTCCTTGTGCAGCTTTACATGCGATGGGGAGCTTTGTGTTACTTGCGAGATCTACCTGCGAGTGTGTCTTGCCTTTAAAGCAGTATTTCACAAAAACCCTCAACCCTCACTAAGCCCTAAAACCCAAAACTAATTTTAAACCCATAAAACCTATATAAACCCCAAAACCCGAAACCCCAAACCCGACTCCCCAAACTTAAACCGCAAACCGACAGCCCGGATTCCTTGTGAGCCCCCAAAAAAACATTCTCCAATGTCTAACACTTTCGAGTTGGAATTGGTTGAGTGCAGAGAATGCCGGCTGAAGAGGTTTATCGAGGCTTTTTTGCGAGATGATGTTGGAGCCGAAACTTGTGGCCGTGGTCGCTGTTTCCTTTACAGCAGGAGAGACTCTAGTTTTGCGACGTAGTATCTCCTACACACGATGTGTTCGACACGATGTCACCACCATGTGCCTATGCGGCTTATTCTCACAGTATTTGTAGAAGGTTTGGATTGTAGATAGCTTCGCATAGATGCTCTGGACTTTTAAAGCATACAACCCAAAGCCATTACCGAGTTTCGGGTGTCAGGCTTTCGGCGCCGGGGCTAGGCTCTAGGCACATTTTTATCCGCAAAGAATAAAGGCTGTTCACTTTGGGTGTTCTAACACATATATAGCAAGTTTTGCTTCGCGGCCATGGCTACTGTCGACTGCTACCGTGTCTACGTGAAGAATGTCACGTACAGTGCGACGAAGTGGGTCACTCGAAAGAAAAGTAGCTTTGGGTTTAGGGTTTAGGGTTTAACATATATACTTTATATGTACACAAGATGTAGATATAGATAAAATCAATACACGTCTATTGGCCACAATCTGACACTCATTACTTTTCTTTTGTGTCTAATTATATATGCTTATATCTACACATATATACAAAGGGTGAGGTTGGTACACATATAGACAGGCATACATATATGTAGTTACATGAGAGAGAGCCGAGGCGATCAGGGCGGCGATCGAGGAGCTTGGGGTGCTGGATTGCCTGAACATACAAGTGGTGCGGGAGCGTTACTGGGAGAAGAAGCAGAGCAAGCCTGATAACTGCTCGATCTTCTTAGAGTTCGCAACTTGGTTTTGAGAAAAATTACTTGCGACCCCTACATAAACCCTAAACCCTAAACCCTATAAACCCCAAACCCCTAACCCCCAAACCCTAAACCAAAGGCCTCGCCAGATGCCGCTCAGCTTGCCCGGGCTTCGCTCGACGGGCAATGGCATGAGAAAATGGCGACGAACAAGTACCTGGTGGCAGAGCTGGCGAAGCCGCCCCCTTCGAAAGCTTCGAAGGAAGACGAGTCGTGGGGCAAGTGTGCACCACCACCAGAACAGCCGCCTTGGAAAGGCCCTCCGCCCACCCCCCCTCCACTGGGCCAGGCACCACCGCCATCGCAAAGCCCACCAGAGCCCAATGTCCCAGAACCAGCACTCCCACCAAAAGCCAAAGCAATGCCGACCCAGCCCCCGTACCCACCGACGCAACACCTTGCACCACCACACCCAAAGGTTCCACCTGAGCAACTTTACGGTTTGGAGACGGTGAAGCCGCAAGCCTGGGAGCTCTGGGTACATGGTGGTCCACGACCCAAATAATCTTGCATTGCATAGTTCAACAACATGTTTTGTTACACATATCTGCATGTGTTTTTATATATATGTATATATAATCAACATGTGTACAAAGAGCTATAGGGCAG